TTTTTAAACATTGCAATTTATCTTCCGATAGCAATGTCTTAAAAATCATGTTGCTAGCTACTTATACATATTTTACCCTCCACTTTTAATAGTGTTATTAAAAAATTCTTAACTTTAACTTTACAGTTTTTTGAGATATCGGTGATAGACCTTTTTATCCGCAAACCTTTAAGACCCGCCCTATCCTATGGTGTAACGATATCACAAATATGCGAATATTTTTGAAGCTACTGTCATCAGAAACAATGAAATGTTATATGTAAATTCAGCTTGTTCAATATTCCATGGAAAACGCTACAATATTCGAAATTCCTAGAATGAAAAACGCATTCTCCACCCATACCGTTTTTGTTAATTTTGACAACCTCAACAATTTCGTACGAGAGTTCATAAAAATATGTAGCCGGCGCAATAATTTCATCCGTGACCGCAATTTATCCAAGCTCACCCACTCAGATTAGCGGGAATTTAATCAGAAAACAACATTGAGATACAATTTACAAGTCCCCCTTAATGGGGGATAAACATAATATAATATGTGGGTATATGAAACATTCGCACGTGGGCGCTTCAAACAAAGTAGCAAGTCCCTTAGCCACTCATGATATGGGACATGATTGGAGAGGCGGATGGAATAAAATGTTACCAAAAATACTTGGTATTGTATTCAAACATTTTTGGAAATATCAAATTAATTAATTCAAAGGGCGTTTAGTCTTAATATAAGCTGCATGAAGTAAATGAAACTTACATGACTTGCAGAACTTTGCTAATTATCTTCGTTATTTTACATTAATATACAATGCATATTAATTATATTATGCATAACAATAAAGATTTGTTCTTATTTTATACGTGAATTTTACAGCATTATTTTTATATAAATATAAGAATATTTAAAGAATTCTATTTTTTTAACAAAAATAATTATTTAACAAAAATAATTATAAATTTGATTTTGATTCTCAAGTTTTACGGTTTTCTGAAAATATTTAATTAATATTTTGTTAATATTTTCTAATAATAATTAATCTCTTTATGCGGTTAAAGCAACTGCACTCCGTGTCCTTTAGAAGCCAATAATTAAATATACTCAAAGTATTAACAACAATTCTAATTATAATTTTAATGTGTAATGTAGCGTTGTTTAGCATTATATGATATATAAAATTTATACTTTAAAACTGATTACGTTACTATTTTATAAAATAAAGTTCAATTTTATAAACTTGCTTTAAAATTAAAGATCGTGTTTTTTATAATTCTAAGTTGAAGTAGATTCGTCTTATCGATTTTTTTTAAGATTGTCATGAATGTCAACTAATGTACAATGAAATTTTATTTCATTACAAATTATTTCAGAATTTATCTTGTATCTGGAATATGAACAGGTTTCTTATAAAATCCTGGCAATTTAGAGTTCTAAGAATATATAATGAAACTTGAAAATTATCTGATATTTATGAGTACCTTTTCAAATGATATTGCCACAATTTGTCTTGCAAAACAAACTAACTCTTATACTCGTTTATTAAGCTCTCCATGAATAATATTGTATCCATTTTCTCTAATTGAGTATTTACTCGTACTTGTTTTATATTAGCTGCGCATTTTTCTCTGGATTATATTTTGTAAATTTAATACAAAGAGGAAAGAAACAAAAATTTTACAATTTTTCAGACAAATTCTTAAAAATCCACATATATATGTACATTTCATATATATATATATATTATATATATATATATATATATATATTACACATTTTTATTGCAATTATTTATGCAACTCATAGTGCCATATAATTTCAAATAAATAATTTCGTATTGATTTATTGAATGTAATAATTTCAATGTACAAGCTCGAATTTATTATTGGTTAATCAGTTCATAAAGTGTAATAAAATTTTGATTTATCATATATGATCACATATGAAAGAGATATTACTGCATAACTTTCTGAATAAATTATGACACAAAAACATGGATTCTTTCCCGCATTCTTCAGGAACCTAAAATTAAATCAATTTGTTCTACTACTATTACTGTATTTAGCTGAATCAACAAGTTAATAAAATTCTATAAAAATAGCTACTTAAATATACCTAAATATACTTATTTTGATTGTCTTAATGAAACATAACCAAATCAATTATCAAATTTCAGTTACAACTATTTTTGAGTAGATTGTTGTATTACTACCATATTACTCTTGGGACCATATTTGATGAGAGGTCGACTATTGGCTTTTCCTGTAAGATATCCTAGTGATCGCAAAAACGTTAAATAACTAAGCATTTATATAATACTACTTCTTTAATTAATCTATTCATTGAAAATAATATTTTACATACAAAGCGCAAATAAATTATCTTATTAAAATGCTCTTCAATATAAATTTACTAAGCAAAGCCCAACCAAATACTAGATATGAACCTATAGGAACCTTTATACATATCTAATATATGGTCTACACATAAAAAGAGAGTGGTTGACCACTGGGTTGTTCTTTCGAGAAAATTACTAAGTTAGGATGTACAACAAAATGCAGCTGATAGAACGCAAACTTCTGTTTGCTGTTAAAATATATGAAAAACATAATAAAAAAATAGATTTTTATATCCACTGTCGCTACCTCCCGTACTATCATTTTCCAGAACACAGGGTGCTGTTCGTCAACAGACCATATACGTTCATGCAATCATATATGACTGATAGAATGATATTAAATTTCATATGAAATGTCCGCCAACGTGTTATGTTGCAATAAAGTGAGAATTTTTTGACGCGTGTTTTCCTGTTTTCACCAGGTAGATATAATATGAAACTCTGATTATGGCGAACAAAATAACAACATGTAAGAGTGGATTTTTAAAGGATTTATGCACTCGTTTTATGTTTTGATGGAAAATGTGCATTTTAATAACGATCATAAAATATTTACACGATTTTTTATGTTGTAGAAGCACATATTATATGTAAAGTAACTAGTTCTGGAATGTGATTTTTTTATTATTATACATAAATATATAATAGAGGAAATACTTAGGGTTTACAAAATAAAATTAGAGCTCAATTTATAAATTTTGAAAATTGCTTAATAAAGTAAATTAAAATTGTGCAATTAGACACTCAAAAAGCAATACAACTTGTAAATAAATAAATATGTGTAATAAATTACTTTGGTGCTCAAATGTTGAAATTTCCAATGATTTGTTTAACCAATTGATTTAATTGTTTAACAGTTGTATAATTATGTATTAGTAATTCTTAATAAAATATGAAAGTAATAATTTATTATTTATTATTCATACGTTTCCATTAACAGGTCTTTAAAAATTAAAAATTTTAATATTGACCACTGAAAATAATTGTTACTAATAAAAAATTATCCATGTAGTAGTTAGAACAGTTAAGTCGTAAACCAATATTAAAAATGAAATTAGAATTGGCATGTTATCAAAATATTCTAGTGAAATAGTTTACGACCTAATAAAATAATTGGAAACATAAAATATGACATAATACCTATGATATTGTTAATTATATATATATATATAATTTCTATATATACTTTATTTTGTTTATCAAAATCACACAGAAAATCTTATGAGTGATGTTATGAGTGAAAAAATATTAATATACATTCAATTTTGTACTAATATTTCTCTTAGTATTTTATTTAACTTGTCATTTTTTGTAGCAAATAATGAATCTATTCAAATATCTACAAATTATGTATTTTTACTAATTTGTCATAATTTTAATATGAAATTTTTATTTCATGATGAGATAAGATTGGAAGAGTTTATAATGTCAGTGAAATTTTTAATTATAATTTTTTTAATATATATTTTTCTCTACAAATACGATTGTTTAACAAGTCATTGTATGTCTAAATTCATTATGTGTTTTTCATGTTTTTTTTAAAAAATGTTTGTTTTTGTTCCATAGAAGAAATGTCAAACTGAGATTCGAAACGTATGGAATACTATTAGAAAATTTGTTAAAAATATAATTAAGTTTATTAATATATCTAAATATAAACCATTATTCCACAATTATTTATGTGAAAAATTTGTGGACAAATAAACTTTCATGTCATAACAATTCTTTTTTAAAAATTTAAAAATTGTAGATTCGATAAACTAGGATATTTCCTCATGAAAAATAAGAAAATCGTATAGTCATTTATATAGTAAATATTATAAATATATGAAATAGATTCACATAGAGCCAGAAATATTCTAAAAAGACCTCGCTTGAATAATGCACACAATATAACATCACACGAATCAATTCGTATGAATATAAAATCAAGTTCATATCTATTTTTATATCATGTAGGTAAAGGAAACTCAATTTGTAAGCAAGGTCTTGGAAAATAAATTGTCTATGGGATAGATTCTATTCTACAACCTTGTGTTAATGCAAGTATATTATCCTTTTCGTACATTTATCGACCTCGGTTCTAATCAGTTGCTGTGAAGGATGATTTTTTCCAGGGTGAATCCAGATTTTGCCTTGATTAGTATTCAATGACTTCATAGTACATAAACTCTTGTTAAAATTGTTATAAAATTTTATTTCTTGATACCTTGATATATTTTGTGATCAATAATTTTAATGTACCACCCTTTTTAAAAACATGGAGTGCAGTAATTAAATACAGGAAAGAAAAAATAACATAAAAATCCATTTGAAATAAAAATAAAATAAAAAAATTATCATAGTTCAAGCTCTAAGTTAATTAAAAGGCAAATTTAATTTGCATAGAAATGATGAGGTCGTGTAGTTTCTTGATTGCTTTTCCAACTAAAAGGATAAAGAGATGCTTTATACATTCGGACACGCAAACAGTGGGTGTCAGAAAAAATATTACTGACACCTACGCTTGAATTTTTCTGCATTTTCTAAAGCTTGGCATTACATTGAGAACAAAAAGCACTAAGCTCATACTTATGGAAAGTCTTGAAAATATAGAAGGTTCTTGAAAGATACTTCAAACAATATTATTGTGAAAAATTGACTCGATGGATATAAAAGTACTACGCTTGTTATTTTTACACGTTCGGTTACTCTTCTATACATTAAATATATTAAAAATTAAATATATAATACAAACAAAATATATTATCTAGAATACTGTTCTAAATGCTTGTAATTTTCCATGAAGTAAATTCATTAAGAAATCATTTACCTTATGAAAAATAATTCTAACTGCGTTTTCAAAATAAAAAGGTTTTGATTCATTTTCGATTGGCACGTTGATAACGCATTTGACTTATTACAATTTGAGAATGTAAAGCTCCTCTATTTTTTTTATATTTATGAGCAAGCAATAGTTGAATTTTATTCCGGAGAAATTGTTTCACGATTTTCATTCTGAAATTATGATAAAATAATGCTAAAATTGAACCCTTTAAAATTTTTTTTTGTATTTTGCATATGTAGTTTGAATCAATGGTTCTTTCATAGGGATTTTCAAGATGTGCTTAAATGTAGTTCATCTCATTTACTGAAGTTTGAGTTTCTATTAAAATATATCAGTTTTCAATTATCCATGGAAGTTTTCAATACTTTCTCATAAGGCAAGTTATCGAAATTGTCAAGAAATTCTTCAATATATTTGTGCATTAAGATCTGACGCGTTTTCAAA